CCTGGCTGAATCCAGCACAGTAGGGAATTATCTTTGGCAATATAGCTGTTTAAATGGTTTTCTCCTGCTGCAATTTGTATCTGTTCTTACAGGGTGATAAATGCCCCAGTGTCTTAGCAGTGAGGCTAGCATTAGGATGGCATAGATATTCTCTGCATCCCTGAAAACTTACTTTGACACCTCATTAGCCATCACCTTCTACAGATTTTTCAAAACATGCTATGGGTTCTTCTGCAGTTGGACTAGATGATCGTTGTAGGTCACTTCCAACTGAAATAGTCCATTCCATTCCATTCCTGCAATATATATGGCTTAGAAAAGAATTATTTCCTACTGCCCAGTTCCCCCAATGTGACCTCCTGGGACAGGAGGTATCTGCATAGATTATCTTGGGAATCTACACTCCTGTGGTCAGGGATAGGTGCTGAAAGACCAAAGTTAGAAGGAAAGAGAGAGAAAAATTAGGTTGAGAAGGAACCTCAGAGGCCATCTGGTCCAGCTGTTTGTCCAGAGCAGGGAGATAACTTGGAAATTCAATCAGGTTGCTCAGGGCCTCATGTTCTGAACATGTGCTAAAGATGGAGAATCCCTGACTATGCCTTATGCTAGTGTTTGAACTCTTGTTGTGAAGAAAGTTTGTTCTGTTTTGGGTGGGCTTTTTCCATATTTCTAACTGAAATTTTCTTTGCAGCCATTTGTGCCTGTGGTCTTTCATCCTTTCACTGTGTATTTCAAAGAAGGATCTGGCTCCCTTTTCCCTATAACTACCTGTTAGGTAGCTGAAGACAGAGATTAGATTTCCCCCTCCCATTTGATATATCTTGCCTACTGATACTTGAGAGCCTAACTAACTAATTGATGTCTCCAGATCTTGCAGGGAGAGTTCTGGTCCAGGCAAATTGGCTCCAGCATCAGCATGCTCTTCACCTGGTGGTATTAACACAGAGTAATTGTGCCCATTTTCTTTTTGCAGGCCCGCCAAGCAGCCCCTTGTGTGCTTTTCTTTGATGAGTTGGACTCCATTGCAAAGGCTCGAGGTGGGAATATCGGTGATGGTGGTGGTGCTGCAGACCGTGTCATTAACCAGATCCTGACAGAGATGGACGGCATGTCCACCAAGAAAAACGTCTTCATCATCGGTGCCACCAACAGGCCAGACATTATTGATCCAGCCATCTTGCGCCCTGGCCGCTTGGATCAACTCATCTACATTCCTCTGCCTGATGAGAAGTCCCGGGTTGCTATTCTTAAGGCCAACCTGAGGAAATCGCCAGTTGCCAAGGTAGGATATCAGCCCTGACTATGTCTGACTTGGGTTTGCTGTGTGCTGCATGTGTTCCTTAGAAGCTGGGGACAGAGCAGAGGGCTGGTGACTGCTCCACACAGTACAGAGCTGGGAGACCTTCAGTCCCTGAAGGATGGAAATGAAGAGGTAGGGGGAGGCTTGACCTCTGAGACTAGGTATCAACAAAGCTGGGTGTTGGTGTGTAAGCATAGCAGGTCTCTCACATATTGGAGTTCTGCCCACAGTTTGACAACAGGAAAGACTGTTACAGCAAGATGGAAAGGAGTCTTGTACTCTGAAAGAAAAGTAAATGTAGAAAACGGGCGGGAAATGGAAATTGAACAGGAACCATTGGAGTTAATTTTTGCTGAACTCTGTCATAGGCAAGAGCTATGTCCCTTGCCTGAAGAGCAGGCAATCATGCAACTAATAGTAAATCAGAGAAAAACAGATATCAAGTGAGAGCTCAAGCTATTTTATGCCAAGCTTACCTTTTTCAGTGCTGTTGGAAAGGAAAGCTTCAAAGGAGGCTGCAGTACTACTCCCTCAGTTGAGGGGAAGAAGGAGGTTGGTTGTCTTAGTCAGCAGACCCATTTCCATTTCCAGTCTGACAGTGTTACATTTGACTCCTAATGCTAAGACCTGAGCAAATCATATCCTAAATCCACAAGTCAACCTGCCTCTTCTTGAGGGTATACAGTGCAGAGGCATTCTCCCCCGTACTCTGCTCTTGTGAGACCCCACCTGGAGTGCTGCGTCCAGCGGTGGAGCCCTCAACATCAGAAGGATATAGACCAGTTGGAGCGAGTCCAGAGGAGGCCACGGAGATGCTCTGAGGGCTGGAGCACCTCTGCCATGGGGACAGGCTGAGAGAGTTGAGCTTGTTCAGCCTGGAGAAGGGAAGGCTCGGGGGAGACCTCATTGCACCTTGCAGTACCTGAAGGGGCTACAAGGAAGCTGGGGGGGACTTTTTACAAGGGCCTGTAGTGACAGGACAAGGGGTAATGGGGTTAAATTGAAAGTGGGGAGGTTTAGACTAGATATCAGGAAGGAATTGTTCCTGGAGAGGGTGTTGAGGCACTGGAACAGGTTGCCCAGAGAAGCTGTGGATGCCCCATCCCTGGAAGTGTCCAAGGCCAGGCTGGATGAGGCTTTGAGCAACCTGGTCTAGTGGAAGGTGTCCCTGCCCATGGCAGGGGGGGTGGGAGTAGATGGTCTTTAAGGTCCCTTCCAACCCAAACCAGTCTGTGATTTACAGCTGCTTCGCAGGGTGTAGGGGGAGTTTGGCCTGCCTTTGTATGTGCTTAACTTTTTCCAAAACCAAGAATCTTAATGGCTTATATTTTCAAAATTGGCCAATTTTAAGGTAGCACCTTGATACCATGGGATCTGAAGACCCGTCTCTGTCACCTGAGGTTGTAAGGTATAAAGGACAGGCTTCTCTTGGTTGTTTTTTTTTGTGTTTTGTTTGTTTTTTTCATTTTGATGGGATTTCCTAGCTAAAATGACCAATGGCTTTTCGGGGGCTGACCTGACAGAAATTTGCCAGCGTGCCTGCAAACTGGCCATCCGTGAGTCCATTGAGAGTGAGATCAGGCGAGAACGTGAGAGGCAGACCAACCCTTCTGCCATGGTGAGTGGGGCACTCTGAGCTTTCCCCATTCATGAGACTGGCAGCGCACCTCTGCCTGTGGGTGAAGTGGGTTGCATTCCTCTCCATAATCCTCAGATAAGGATGAGTGGGCTCTCAGCACAGAGCATGGAGCTGGAGTACTTTGTTCTCAACTTGTGGGAGGGTGAGGCCCTCCTGGGGTGCCTCATTGTCAGCATTGTTCAGAGGGTCCCTGCTGCAGCAGTGACTCATAGTCTGCCATAGTGTCCTTTTCTACCTCCTACTTTGTCAGGCATTAGAGCATCCTGGCCTAGAGGCTGTGGGTGGCTGTTGGGCCATGGAGCTTTTGCATGCAGCTCACCTGGGTGCTCTGTCCTGCTGCAGGAAGTGGAGGAGGATGACCCAGTCCCTGAGATACGCAGGGATCACTTTGAGGAGGCCATGCGCTTTGCTCGACGCTCTGTCAGTGACAACGACATCAGGAAATATGAGATGTTTGCACAGACTCTACAGCAGAGCCGTGGCTTTGGCAGCTTCAGGTAACTGGGGGGGGGGGGAGCTCAGCCAGCCCCAGAACAGAGCAGCAAGGCAGCTTTCTGCTGAATTCTGGGTAACAAATTCCTTCTACCACTGTTTTCCCATTCTCCCTAGCATGTACAGCAGCCAGCTGAGCATGTGGCAGGTGTAGGCTGTGCTGCAGATCAGTTGTAGCTGCTCTGTTAGTGCTCCTGAAGTCCATCAACCCTTTTTTGCTTTAACATGAGTGACATCCAGCAACTGTATAAGCCTTTTGTGTGACCTGCCATAAGGCTTCATCCCATTTCTCCTGCCTGTCCTACTTGGCAGCAGGGTGTTGGTGTGGAGGGGAGGGGATTGTGCTGAGCTGTGAGGAGACTTCTGAACAGCATCTCTTCTCTCCCCTTCTGCACCACTGCACACAGGTTCCCATCAGGTAACCAGGGTGGTGCTGGTCCGAGCCAAGGCACAGGAGGCGGCAGTGGGGGCAACGTGTACAGTGAAGACAACGATGATGATCTCTATGGTTAACTCGCTGTCCTCTGTGGACCAAACTCCAAACCAGGCCACGTTGAATAGGGAAAAAATCCAGTGTTCAATGGACTCTTGGCTTCATTCCTCAGTCAGAACAGTGTAGCTGCACTTCAGACTTTGTACAGGGAATGTTTTCTGCAAACAAAAATCCAGACTGGTGTTAAATTGGGAGGCAGACAGTAAATTAACAAGTAGGGGAACCAACTTAATTTCTGAGATATTTCTGTTCTACTTTGTGGCAGAATCAGCAGCTTTAGCAAAGAGTACAATGCTAGCCTGTATTAAAAAAAACCCACATAAATAATAAATTAAAAAAAAACCCACAACTGGCAATTCTTTTGTGTGGGAGTGGTGCAGTGTAGCTTGTGCTGTCTCTGTAAACCCTGTGTCTTGCATACTGAGCACTCCTCTAGCTCATGGAGCCCATCGGTATGCATGCTTCCCTGGTGCGTTCAATGTTACTGTTCATTCTTATACTTCTTAGCCCAAGTTAACAGAAAAGATTGTATTTGGCAGTCTCTCTCCCCTGCCCTAATTTGGCAGGAAGCACCAAGTAAGAGAGCCTGGTAGCAGGTATCTCTTGCTTCTCCAATGCTGGCCCTGAGCTGTTGGGTCTACTGCTGGTTTTGCTCTGCTGCAGACTTCTCCAGCAGTGCCTGTTTCATCTGAAGGCAGGGCAGAAGGGGGCTCTTGGACTGTCTCTGGAGTTTGTGGTGCAGCATGACCCCACTATGATTAGGGAAGAGGGGAGCTTCCTGTTCTGGTGCTGCAGCAGCACTGTTCGTCAGGTTCTGTGGAGAGATTTTCCCCTTCCCCCGCAATATTTCATGCGTCCCTTCGGGTTTCTGGTGGCAGGCTGCCAGTCCTGCCCCTTGTGCCTCATACTCAGTACTCTGGTTCTGATCATGGTTCTTATCCTTCCTTTCCACTTACAGGTTGCTGCCTTGCTCCTTAGTTTATTTTCCCTTCATTGTACTGAAAAAAATGTGCTACTGCTATATTGTTAGTGTTTTATATGAGAGAAGCTCTGGGTCTGGTCCTGTCATGAAGACAGGAGTGGTGTTGCAGCCCTGTGGAGGGCTTCATCAACCTGGCTAGATTTAAGGGGAGAGGGGAGATAGGTGAGGCAAGTCTGTCGTGGTTTAACCTGGACTAGCAGTAAAGTACCATGCAGCCGCTTGCTCACCTTCCCCCCCCTCACCAGCCAAGGAGGAGGGTCAGAGGAAAAAGACAATGGAGCATGTAAAGTTGAGATAAGAACTATTTAATAATTTAATATAAGTGAAAATTATAGTGATACTACCAATATTATAACTACTACTACTAAGTAATTAAATTATTTAAAAAAAATAGAACATAAGATACAATTTCTTACCACCTGCCAACCACCACACAGCACGTCCAGGTGTAGTGAGAGTCAGAGCCCCAGAGCAACACACAACTGGGAAAAAGGCAGTGAACCCCCAACCCACTAAGGAATAAACCCACCCCACTGCTAACAAAAGAGCTAACAACCCAGCTATCAAGCTAGCATAAGTCTTAACGACCTCCCCAGGCCACTTCCTGCCTAAGAACTGCACATGTGTACTGAGCATGACATACCATGGAATGAAACACTCCCTGGGCCAGCCATCAGCACTGTGGAAAAAAAAAAAAAAAAAGGCAGCTCTTTCCTGCCTGAACCAGCACAGTCTCATCTCAAAATGACAGAAGGATGGAACTGTCCATGGGAGAGGGGCTTGTGCATAGCAATGGGGCAAAAAACTGAACTTTGGAACACTACCTCCTGCTGTGGTAGAAGGACATGTAAGCTCTTGGGTAGGGTGGGTAGCCCCTGCTCAGGTGCTCTGTCCTACTTCAGAGCCATTTGCCTGCCAGTACCACTCTTGCCCTGTCCTTATGCCACCTCTGTTCTGCACTGCAGAGAAAGTGGCTATTGTCTCCTCCTATGGCATCAGGGTTGAGGATGGCCTGTCCCTCTCTTGAGAGCCACGAGAGCCAAGCAGGGAGGGTTGGCACTTCCCCTGCCCTACATCAGCCCTTTGGGGGGATAACTGGCACCTGGAAACCTTTACTCCAGGGCTGCTTTCCTGCCTGCACTTCTCCCTGCTGCTCTGTGCTCCTCCAAGCAAGGTGGATGCAGATGCTGGCTTTACTTTCATTGTGTCCTACTTGTTCATCAATGCAGTCTCAAAAGAGGCAGGGAGGGAACCAGGAACCAGCCACTTTCAACCACTTGGGAAAGTTCTGCATCCATGCCAGGAGCTCTCCAAGACTTCCAAAAGCATTTCCCAGCTGTGGTAGTGGGTGGATTTTTTCCTCCCTGCCAGTTTGGGGCTGTGACTATTCAGCAAGTCCCAGCATGTCTACCCTGGTGTATCTGTATGCTGTGGAGGCTGGGGTAAAGTGGTTTAACTTCAGCTAGCAAAATACCACAAAGCCACTCTCACACACACACACCTCTCCTCCAGCAGAGGGGGAGAATTGGAGGAAAAAGACAAGGAAGCTTGTAAAATTGAGATAAGAACTATTTACCAATTGAACATAAGTGAATAATATACATAAACGAATATATACAAATACTACTAATAATAAATAATGAAAATAGAAAATAAGACATATGACACAATTGATTGCCACTTGCTGACTGATGCACACACAGGTCTTAAGTAGTGGGAGCCTTAGAGTGATTGCAGCAGAGTCCAAGA